AAGTTCCCATAAGGAAAGGGATAAAAGGTGGGGAAACAGTGTGGGGATAACACTTCTGGTTAAGGAACAGTTTGGATCAGGGAGGAGAGGGAAATGAGGGATTTAGTGAGGATATGCCAGGCTGGGAAGGCTCCTGGCTTGTTCCCTCTTTTAGGAACTGTGGAGCTGTGGGTGCTGTGCTCAGCTTGGATTTGGGATACCCCTCCCTTCCCATTGGACTCAGCTGTGCCCCATAAACCCTTTTAGAGCTGAATTTTGTCCTGAATGGCTTTATTTCCATGTCCTGGCCTCCCCCAGGGYAACACAGAGAGGACGGTGTGGCAGTACCATTTCCGAACCTGGCCCGACCACGGCGTCCCCAGCGACCCCGGGGGTGTCCTGGATTTCCTGGAGGAGGTGCACCACAAGCAGGAGAGCATTCCTGATGCAGGACCTGTCGTGGTCCACTGCAGGTGAGCTGAAACCTTTAAAAAAATGGACAACTTCTCCTGGGAACTGCTCAGAATTCCCTTTGTTTTCTGTCTGTATGATGTGACACCCTTGGAAGGGATTTCAGAGTGTATGYTTTGGTATAAATGAGAATTTCTACTGTTGGATGAGGAGGTGGGACCAGCCCTGGCTGGAGCATTTCAAGTGCAGGATCCTGGCAATTCTGGCACCCATCCCACCTGTGAGGGCTCTCTCCTTTTTGGGTGTTCTCATCTTATAAATGAGATGCTTTTTATAAGGCAAGGAAATTACACATCTGCCCTTACATTTTTTTTCTGATTCAGGGGTGTTTATAAACACTGAAGGTCAGACATGCTGATTTCTGTCCCTTCCCTGAGCTCTCTGCTTACTTTTGGGTCTGTGGTTTGGCTCTGGCTGTAGTTTGGGAGCCTCTGGCTACAATTTGGGAGCCTCTGGCTGTAATTCAGAAGCCTCTGGCTACACTGTGGAAGCCTCCTGTCTCCTAATGCCACACTTTTTCTCAGGCTGGGGTTTTGACGTTTGTTCAGAAAGAGCAAAACATTGAAATTCCCCTTTTTTTTCCCCTTCTCCCAGTGCTGGAATTGGGCGAACAGGAACTTTCATTGTCATTGATATCCTGATTGACATCATCCGAGAAAAAGGTACCTTTTCCCCTTTGATTTCCCTGTCTGTCCACGGATCCATCCCAGGAACACCCGTGGAGGATTCAGGTGAGCTGCACCCTCACTGTGTCCATTTTCCTGCTTTTCCCATTCCCTGAACATCCCCAGGAGTGGATTGTGACATCGATGTCCCCAAGACCATCCAGATGGTGAGGTCCCAGCGCTCAGGRATGGTGCAGACAGAGGCTCAGTACAGGTTCATTTACATGGCAGTGCAGCACTACATCGAGACCCTCCAGCGCAGGATCGAGGAGGAGCAGGTGGGTCCATCCCAAATATCCAACAAGAACATTCTGGAATTGCATCAGGGAGCAGCCTTAGTTGGGGTTTTTGGAGTAATTGTGTTCTGGAAGCTGTGAGCCCTCTCCTGTATTTCAGTTCAGTATGCTTAAGAATTAATTAAATTATTTGGTGGCATCATCTCCTTAGATAGGGTGGAATTCTCTCCTTAAATAGGGTGGAATTCTCTCCTTAAATAAGGTGGAATTCTCTCTTCAAATAAGGGGGAATTCTTTAAATTAGGTGGATTTTTCTCCTTAAATTAGATGGAATCCTCTCTGGATACTATCAAGTGGAATGCTCTCCTTAAAATATTAGGTTGAATCCTCTCCTTACATTACTAAGTGGAATCYTCTCCTTGAAATTACTAAGTGGATTTTCCTCTTTAAAATATTCGGTGGAATYCTCTCCTTACATTATTAAGTGGAATTTCCTCTTTAAAATATTAGGTGGAGTCCTCTCCTTATATTATTAAGTGGAATCTTCTCCTTAAAATTATTAAGTGSAATTTTCTCTTTGAAATATTCAATGGAATCCTCTCCTTAATTTAAGTGGAATCCTCTYCTGTCCTCCCTGTCCCCAGATCTCAGATTTCCTTCCTATCATCAAATTTCCTGCTCAGGAAGAATAAAAGATCARGGTTTGTTAATTAAAGCAGAACATTGTGGTCTTGGTGTTTTTTAAAGAGATTCCAAAGCTGTTTCCTGCATCCCTGAAAGGGCAGAAGCAAATGCTGATCACTCCAGTTCCAATTTGGGAATTTATTGGTAGGGAAGCAAACTGTTGGAGTGGAAAATGAGAGGGTGAGTGTAGTGATCCGACAAAAATCATTTCCAGGAGTGTGATGGGATCAGAAATATTTGGGAATAAGTGRTGACAACCCCACAAGACCTTCACCTGCCCCTTCCTGGTCAGGGGWTTCCTTGCACTCCAGTTTTTGGGGGTTTTACAGCACTTTCCTGGTTTTTTTCTGGTGTTTTCTCCCTGTCCCTGCTGCTCCCTGCCCTGACCTTGGAGCAGCTGGGATTTGTACCTTTCTGTTTCTATGCTAATTAATCCATATTTTTAGATTTTTCAATATCTTTTTCCCTGCTAGGRACTTTCCAACACACACTGAGTTAGTTCCTTTATCAGCTGCTTCCTACAAAACATCCTCGTGGWCCATTCCACGAATTCTGCATTCTGTTTTTCTGACACTTTGTTCATTTGTTCTTTGCTCAACAAAACTTCTCCCAAGCTGTGTTCCCACAAATAACTGAGGCCAACTTTGCTGGGTGCTGGTTAAAAGGGATTTAAGAATCACCAGAAATACCAGGATCGAGTTCTGAACATGTTTCAGGAGATCATCTTGGAATGTTCTTAATGGGAATTCAGGAGCCAGAATTCCCTGGARGTTCCACCAGCTTCTGCTGTGAGATTGGATCAGGCCTTAGGACTTGCTGAACTATTAAAAAACCCCAAATAAACACACCACCCCSTCCCCAAACCCCAATTCCCTGCACAACTTTAATTTCTACATTGTAGCTTTCACCGTTTTCCAGCCTGGAAAAAGGAAAAATCCACTGGATCCCGTTTGTAATTCCCTGGCAGGAGCTGCAGCCTGGAACATATGGAGCAAAATCCACAGAACAGCTTGGCTGCTTTTTATATCAAACCTAATGGGCTCTGATATTATTTTATTGGAGGCCCTGCTCCCTTGGCCCCWGCTCCGAGCTGGAAATGAGGGCAGTGGGAACCCCACTGACTGCTCAAGAATGAACTGGGGAGGTTTCTGCCAAGGGAATGAGGATTGGGTACGTTCAGAGGGTTGGTGTGTTCTGCTGGAGGGGGAGAAACGTGGAGTTTTAAGGGAAAATGTGGAGTTTTAAGGGCAAACGTGAAGTTTTTTTAGGGAAAATTTGGAGTTTTAAGGGCAAACCTGGAGTTTTTTAAGGGCAAACGTGGAGTTTTAAGGGAAAATGGAGTTTTAAGGGAAAATGTGGATTTTTTTTTTAGGGAAAATTTGGAGTTTTAAGGGAAACCGTGGAGTTTTATGGGCAAACGTGGAGTTTTAAGGGAAAATATGGAGTTTTAAGGGAAAATGTGGAGTTTTAAGGGAAAATGTGGAGTTTTAGGTTTTGTCTCCCCAACAACTCAAGCCAAACTATTATTATTATTATTAAATGGAGTCTTCTCCTTAAAATTATTAAATGGAATTGTCTCAGTGTGGAATTTTCACAGTGCTGCTCTCCCTGCARGACTGAGCTCCCTCCTCACACAAAAACCTAAAAACACCCTCCTCATGAAATTTTTGCACTGTTCCCATGATTGAACCTGACTTTTTGTCGTGTGTTTTGCTCCACAGAAGAGCAAGAGGAAAGGTCACGAGTACACGAACATTAAATATTCGCTATCGGACCAGACAGGCGGGGATCAGAGCCCGCTCCCCCCCTGCACCCCGACCCCAACGTGTCCAGAGTAAGTTCAGTTCTGCTCTCAGCTTGGAACTCTTCTGTTTTACCTTCAGACCCCTCACGAGGCTGAATTAACCCAGAACTTCCCCTGTTAACCCTGGGCTTTGCTCTGAAAATAAATCCAGTTAAAATAAATTGTCCCTGAATTATGCGTGCAATAGGATTTTTATTTTTTTTTTCTCAAATGAGATTGTTGGGATTCTAAATCTTGATTTTGTTTCAGAATGAGAGAAGATAGTGCTAGAGTATATGAAAATGTGGGGCTGATGCAACAGCAGAAGAGTTTCAGATGAGAAGATGTTCAGAGCCTTCCAGGTGTGTATGRCCAGGGCTGTGTCCAGCCTGGCTGGGGAAAAAATGTACCCAGAAATGCCCAAAATGCTTGAAATTTATCCCCCTTAGGGTGCCTGAGCTACAAAAGCTAATTTTAATTTAATTTTAATGACTTCTATACACAATCTCACCTTCTGCCACGGTTCCTAAGCCAGGTTTGAAACTTTGGTTGAGTTTGAGCTTTATTGAGKCAACGTGGAGCACTTCTGTGCAAGCCTGATTAAAAAATAACCGCTGAGTTTTTTTCTTAATAATTCTTTATTTCTCCTTTCCCAGAAATGAAAATGGTTCTTAAAAAGGTCAAGAAAGAGATGGAAGAAGCTTCACGTYACCGTTGAACTCTGAGGGCTTGGTACCTTTTTATTTACGGTTTTAATCCTTCAGTAGGCAAAACTTCAGAGCATCTAAAGATTGTTTTTATCTCTTCTCTCCAATTTCCAATTGCTCGTTTTTCCAAATAAAAGGAAATCCTTTCTACAAGGTGGACACCTACTTTGTAGAGCCAGTTTTGAATCCTGCAAACCGTTGGACTGTCATCCATTTGTTTTTTTGTT